ACGGGTGTCTATTACAAGGTCTCTCTCTCTTTCCTGTATAGAAGCAAAAAACCCAAACCCCCATAGTCAAACTCGACCAAAGAAACGAAATCCTACGGGTATAGAGGGAAAAAACTAGTCAAACGGCCCTAGGCCACCGTCCTACATAGTCTCTGACTGAAAAAGGACGTTAATGGATACTACTACTACTACTACTACTCCGCATGTATCCTTTCTATAATACCTCGATTCGAAGCCAACGTAAAACTGACACGTCTTTCTCAGCCTTCCCATACTATCTCTAAGCAGCCAGCATACGACACACAGTTCATACCTTTCCCAAAATGTCCACAGGTCCCACCATGACCATGACCATGACCTCAATCTCTCCAACAACCACCGCCCACACACCATCCCCACCTCCATATCCGTTTCCACCCCCCTCATCCTCCTCAAAATTCGACTGGATCTGCCTAACCTGCACCAACATCAACATCAACGGCGTCCTCTCCCCCAAAGGCCACCTAACCGCCCACTGCACCTACTAGACTCCGCAACAATCAATTCAATCCGGTCACTCTCCTAGACCCACTTACCTATCTAGGTAGGGCTTAAACTCCTATAGGTAACTACTAGGCTTAAAGCGGTAATCAATCAATCCAATCTGAACCTTCTAGGACCCACTTAATTGATTGTTGCGGACTGTGGCACCTACTGCCTCCCAGAATCAAAACCCATGCGCATGCTCCTAAACCGCGATGACGAAATGATTTATAAAAACACGAATACCGCGAGTTGTGGTAACACGTCGACGGCGCAGATGGGTGCGTTGCCTAGACGGCCTACGGGGTTGAGGGATGAGGAGGACAAGGGCGGGTTTGTGAGAAGGCCTACGACGCCGAAGGTTAAGGATGGAAATGGGGATGTGAAAATTAGGGTGCTGAGGCGGAGTACGGCGCTTGAGGGTGGGGAGGTAAAGAGGGGGGTTTTGAGGAGGAGTTCTACAATGTCGATTCGTGCGGCGGTGAAGAGGGTGGAGAGTTGGAAGGGGGTGTGGGGGGTTGGGAAGTAGGGGATTGGCGTTTTATAGTTTCTTGAGGACAGGATTGCTAGGAGTTTTTGCATTTTGTTTTCAATACGTTCTTGTTGCGATATCTTGGGAAGATGTTTTACGGCACGCCCGTTGATGTTAGGATGATATCACGTTGAGATGATCTACTCTGCTCCACAATGTTTGAGCACACACGGGAACTGCTATTCGACCAACATTATTCTTTTGATCATAAACTGCACAGTGTGTACATGACTCTCTTTATTCGTTACTCATACTTGAATCGTGAGTCACATGAAGATAAGTCTATGCGACGTCGTTGCACTCACCAAGCGCATCATCATAATTCAATATCCTCCATCACTGTATAATTCACACTGACATAGTAAACGATGATATATTCAAGTCGCTCTTCACTTCACAGAGACATGTCCATGAGCTACTCAACGACTGCTATGACCGACGTAAGTGACACGCCAGGTCTGTTGTCTTGCAGCTGATGATTTAAGACGAAACATTTGCCAGAAGACCCATAAATGAGCAGCATATTTGGCGAGAATTTGGGTGATAAGTTCGACACGACCACTCAACCTGACAACACCGGTCGCGATACTCAAACTGGCCACCATCCTCGAGGGGACCCAAATGACACTAGAGATGCTTTGCAGCCTAAAACGACGGAATTCACGCCTGGTGGTTATATTGACAAACCATGTAGCCCATGGGAAAAGCTTGGATATACGAGGGCTATTGGTAATAATGCCAAAGAAGCTGCGGAAGTGACTCCTGGGCTACCTTCCCAATTACTACCTCGTTCAGATGTATTTAAACATGTGTCACGAAAAGCAGTGTCGCAAGGCCAGCAAACCACGGGATCAGTGAACAGGGCCAAGAATAATTTCGGAAAGAAGGATAGAAGATGCTGTATCATACTTTGAGATTCTGACGAAGGAATGCGACATATAGAATACTCATCCGGTTAGAATATAAGCATTGTGCAAAATGCGTCCGTTCCGAGATAACAGCACATTGTGAATTCTATGCGTGCAGCTCATCTTTCCAATCACACAATGCTGCTCTTCCCCAACGCCAAACTGTGAATTCACATATTTCGTACCCGCCACCACCCACACTGTATACATGCCATGGACCGTGTGAGCTAACACCGACGGCATACCTATTTCTATAAGTAAGACCATATCGTACCCCCTTTCCACAAATCATCTCCTCACCACCTCAACACTTCACCATATCTCTACATCAATCACAATGACTTGGCTCTGCTGTACCTGTGGCGCTACCAACTCTGGCGATGGCGCCAGCCCCACTGACGTCACCGTTATGATGCCTTGCCGTGGGTGCAACCACACATGTTGTTGGAGCTGCGGTCCTACGCCGCCTGTCAAACGCTAGCAAGGGTGGTTTGTGTGGTTTCGATCATTGCATGCTCGCCAGGCCAGGATAGATGACTATGAGGAGTTTTTGATTTTAGTTTTAATTTTAGGATACCGACGGAAGATCGCTGTATAGCATCTCCGGGATCCTCAGCGAATGCAATGTTTTTTGATTACAAGTATTATTAGAAGTGCCCCATATTTGACCCTCATGATGTGAAGTTAAAAGAAGCAAAACGCAAAGTAACCAAACCGTTCCTCACCCATACTATCGGGCCCTGGCGATTCAGAGCGAGAAGAAGCAAGCAAGCAACATCGTCAAGGGCAGACCAGGGGCCACACAACCTACCCCGCAAAACATACCTCCAGGGGATCCCGAGTCATGCTAGCGCAAACCGATCTGCAACCTTATCTTGGCGCTTGCCGGTACATGCGACCTACCCAAACACCCAGCTACGGGAGTCTAGCGACCCTGCTGGCCCATCTTGGATCTGGATGAAGCGGTGGCTTGCATCCTAAAGGATCGCCGCCATGTATATTTTCCGCGGGCATGGGGATATGGCAAATGTGTGACTGACGCATAAGTTACCCCGCGTCACATGTGTGACTCCAACGTAGTAATGGTAGACAGACGTCTGGTGATACAAAGGCCATCAACACCACAGCAGTACTCACTCATCCACGCAAACTCTGTAGATTCGGTAATCGAAAATGCCTCTCACCGTGCACCGGGATGTCGGCTCCGTCCCCGGCTCCGGTTCCCGCCACACTTCAACGCACATCTGCGACGTCTTACGCCACAAATGGCGACGAAACCCATATCATCGGGTATTTTTATCACGACCAGGTCACACATGACCGGGTATTGCATTAAGAGCTCATACTGAGCCACAGTCATTCGACCCGTTTAGCCCGGCACACCAGCTGTGCCTCTTCGGGGTGGCAAAGGGGGGGGGGGTATGATGTGAGGGGATAAGGCAAAGGGTTGGCATATGTTGGTGGCTTGATGTTCTTGCGATGCCATTGGGAATAAAAGGCGGATGATTGCGGCACGGGTCTCATGTAATGCAATGCGTTAGCTCACGTTGAGATGCAGAATAAGCGCACGGTACTGTGGCGTGGACCCTTGAGCGTGTCGGAGATTTT